CTGGCTGTCCTTCCAGAGGATACCAGTCTGCTTCCCAATACCAGGTCAATAGTCTCACAACAGTGAGTACCTCCAGTTCCAGAGAATCTGATGCCCTCTGCCAGAAACCTGCACACACATGATATGCACATAGATACCACACACACACACACACACACACAAAAAAAAAAAAAAAAAAAAAAAAAAAAAACACAGCACACTCATTGACTAGATAAAAGACTGTTCCTTCTCTCTGTCTACATGTCATCCTTTCCTTCTGCTTTGTTTGTTCCTTCTTTTTGCTCCTCCTCCTGCCTGCTTCTGCCCAGCCTCATACACAGGCCGATCACTCTCCCTGACCCCCATTAACTCCACTGTGATAGTATGCTGCATGTGGCTAAGTAATATTTCCAGTCTACAATGGAACAGCGGAAGTTCAAAAGCTGCTAACGGGGGCCCAAAGACACATGGTTCAAAACAGACTTGTGCTGGAGCCCTTGACCATTTGTGTGTGCATATGGGTTCATGGCTCATCAGACGATGCTAGAGTCACAACTAGTGACTGCTGGAGCCAAAAGTGCTCAGAAGCTAAGTGGCAGGGGAAAACATTATCCTTGTCTAATGATTGACAATATGGTAATGTCAAATACTTACAGCTCCCTGATACTTATACCCAGTATGGGCAGCTCTGAGATGTGACTCACATCTGTCCAGGATGACCATGAAGTGATGCTCAGAGGACTTCATCACTTGGCCTGACCCCTTCCCTGTCTGCTTTGCATCTTGGAAACCTTCCTAAACCTTGCCTCAGAGTCTTCCTCGCAGAATCCCAGCCTCAAGTGAAGTCGATGCTGGACCCAGGCATGAGCTTCTGGCTTCAAATGTTTTTCCCTCTTTTGGTGCTTGAGATGTTTTTGCAATCATACTGACCTGCTTTTATTTAACTTTACAGTCTTTAAAAACACAAATGACCATTGTTGTTTCAGGATATCTCGGAGACAAACATATTCAAATATTCTATGCATGTTTAATATAACTAGATTGCTTGAGAGGCAAGTAGCTTTGAACATCACAATGAAATGAAGGACTCAAAGAGGGAGAAGACATCCTATCAAAGTTGAGTTTGTAATTTTCTTTCACTTAGGACCACAGTTAAGTAGAAAACAAAGCTTCATTTAGTATTATCTCTCTATAAAGAGTCCCTGTTTATCTTTTCATTTCCTCTTTTAGTACTAGGAATTGAAGCTAGGCCTCAGCTGCATTCCTAGTGCCTTTTGACTTTTTATTTTGAGAAAACGTTTTGCTAAACTTGTAATCCTCCTGCCTCAGCATCCCAAATAGTTGGGATTACAAGCCTACACCACCGGACCCAAGTGCTTTTGTACTCTTGTTTGTTTATTTGAGACAGAGTATATGTAGTTGATCTCATATTTGTTACATACCCAAGGATGACCTTGAACTCTTATGCTGAGATTACAGGCATCCACCATCTTGTCTTGATTCTCTTTTAAATATTTTTATGCATGAAAAGTATGACATCATAAAGAGCCACTGTGTGCTCTACTGCAGCCATTTGCAAAGTCCTTTACAATTTCTCCTTTCATTTGCATATCTTTACAAAATAATTTTTTGACAGTCTTTTACCACAGTTTCCCTGCCAGCTCCAGCCTGACCTAAAGAGGGTGCCACATGATCCAGACATTCAGCTCACTCCCCTTGTGACTGTCACCTTTCATGGTTGTATATTACTACACCCAAAGGAGGTACCATGGATTTTGGCTGCTTTGGAAATGTAGCTGTCTTAAGTAATATTGTGCTGGAAATATGGCTTGGATTGTATCCATTCTTCACAAAATTCAATTCAGTCTGGTTTGGTTTGGTTTGGTTTGGTTTACACTGTTAGGAATTAAGTTTAGGCCAGGACTCAGCCACTGAGCTGTGTTCTCACCTGCCAGGCTATTTCCTTCCATAATATATTTTTATTTTTTTATTATGTGAAAGTGTGTGGGGGGTGGAGCCTTGAAGAGGATGTCACATACCCTGATCTGGAGTTCCAGGCAGTTGTAAGGCATGCCACATGGGCTCAAATGCAAATCCTCTGCAGAGACTCTTGCTCTAAACCACTGAGTCATCTCTGCAGCACCTCCCACCCCCAATCACTACTTGAAGAGCATTTTCTGATAAAGGGATAATGCCTGTGACATTTTACATACTGTCACTTTCCTTCCTCTAGCCTACACCTACTAAAATCCAAGGCTGCCTGAAACAGTGATTTTAAACCCAGGGAATCTTCTGGCTTGATTTGTTTGTTTGTTTGTTTGTTTGTAGATTGTTTGGGGCCAGTGAGATGGTTCAGCAAGTAAAGGTGCTTGCCAACAAGCCTAAAATACATAGTGGAAGGAGATAACTGACTCCCAAAGCTGATCACTGATCTCAACATGTGCATTGTGACGAGTGCCCCCACACACACACACACAATGTTAAAAATCTAAGGCTAGAGAGATGGTTCGAAAGTTAGAGTACTTGAGCCAGGCATTGGTGGCTCACGCCTTTAATCCCAGCACTCGGAAGGCAGAGCCAGGAGGATCTCTGTGAGTTCCAGACCAGCCTGGTCTACAAGAGAAACCCTACCTAGGAAAAACAAAACAAAACAAAACAGTACTTGATGCTCTGCCAGAGGATGGGAGATCAGTCACAACCACCTATAACTCCAGATCCAGATCCAGTTATAAGACCCACTCTGGTCTCCTAGAGTGACTGCACTCAAGAGCACGTACCCTCAACATACACACATAGCCAAAAATAAAAAATAAATCTTGTTTTTTGAAAATTTAATGAGCTCAAGTATTGTCACAAACTCATTTTAACTTTTTCCATTTTGTTTTGAAGCTTTCGGTTTGGGGGGTTGTTTTTTGGTTGGTTGATTGGTTCATTTTTTTATTGTTTTGATTATTTTTATTTTGTTTTTTTTTTGGTTTTGGGTTTTTTGTTTTTGTTTTTGTTTTTTATTTCGTGTTTGTTCTGTGCTGTTTGTGGTGCTGGGGGTTGAACTCTGGATCTTAGCAAAAGCAACACAAATTCCTCTACCCCTGAACTCCAACCCTAGGTCCAAATTTTTCCATGTAGTAAAGATCTTTAACCTTTCCAGGAACAATAGCAAACTTGTACCTTCATTGTGCAAATGACATTCTAGTGTCTCTCAAATGTCTGTAGTGCTGCTCTAACATTCCAAAGAACTTCTCTGGGGGATCAGTCACCGGGCAGGTGATGCTCACTAGATTTGGGTGTTGACAAGACACATGGGTGCAGATTCCTGTTTTCTCATCTAACTTGAGTTTTCCTGGAGCTGCCCCCTCTCGTAGGTCAACCACACAAGTGTTAAACCCTGAATTGATACCCCATGGCTTCTGCACTTCCAGGAGATCCTATGACTGGCAGGATGCTGTAACTATTTTTTGCTGAGGCTGAGGATAGCTCAGGGGGAAAAGACTTGTGTAAGCATGAGAACCAGAGTTCAGATCCCTAACACCCACGTAAAAAGCTAGCCAGGGTAGGAAATGCTGTCACTGAGGAGCCAAAGACAAAAGGATCTCCAGGGCTTGCTTGCAAGCCAGTGTATTCAACAGGTATGATGCAGCTTCAGTGAGAGACCTGTCTCAAAAGTTAAGATGCAGAGTGACTGATGAAGACACCCGAGATCAACATCTGATCTTCACAGAGAGACAGACAGACAGAGACATCTCCAGTGTACTTAAAGGTTCTATATTCTTTCATGCAACAGCTATTTTTGAGCTAGAATGATTCCAGACTGTACTCCTGTACAGACTCAACCATGATTTCCTACGCTGCCTTCTTCCCAGCCACTGTCCATCTGAAGATTCAAGTGAGCCCCAGATGCAGGCTTCCAGGTGTCACCAGGCATCCACCCAGGTGAAAACCCTGTTGATTGACAACACTATTTGCTTTTAAACTCTCGGGAATGCATCTCCTGCACCCCCACACCCCAGCAAGAACCAAACTGTGCTCAAGTGAAGCAAGAATTTTGTTTCTGGGTTTAAGATAAAAGGTAAAAATAGAAAAAGATAAAAACTTCAGAGTCTGTTTCTTACTGAATCACCAAACCTGTGATTTTTCTCCCAACCACACCCAGGGGCCACAGTGGGAAGTGATGACATCCCCACGCAGGGGTAACCACCTCCTCACAAGATTCCTCTGCTAATGGCCTTTCCTCTTCTTTCCAGGCCTTTCTGGGTTAGGATAACTTTGGGGAATTCTAATTATAGTCCTTTCCAGGTTCCAACTTCACCACCAAACAAACCTGTTTTACAACTCCAAGGAATCTAATTTGGCCTCACACTTACAATGGAGTAATACACAAAACAAGCAAAAAGCTGGCAGCTCAGCTAATGAGCAGCTAGATTTGGGCACGCACTGCTAACTTGATCTAATTAAGAAGCACTAACACACTAATGACACTTGTAGAGAAAAGGTTCAAGCAGGACACGATGTTTGCGATTCCTGATAGCAGCTGTGCAAACTGCAAAGGCGCCAAGCGCTGTGGAGTGCCTAGACATACAGCACTATGCAGAAACTGCCCTGGCCACCTTCCTTGCGTGAGTAGCGGGGTGACCAGACCTGAATCCTACGTGAGTATTCAGCTCTGAACAGAGTCCCTAAGCCTAAAGAAGTCTGTTGGGCATTTCCTGATACAATGACACACATGGAAAGATGCCATTTTTATTCATTAATATTTATTCCTAGGAAACTAACAAACTCATTGTATAGATGGATGACCTTGACCAACTGTCACCTTTTGCTTTACCACCATCTACTTCCAAGACACTTCCAAATGAAAGGACACCGGGAAAAAAAAAAGAATCCCAGTGAAAACCACTTGGGAGTGTGCTGTCTGTCATTTACTATTAAGTATTTTACATTCAAGCCAAATCTGACAACATCCCACCTAGGCAGAGTGTCAGATCCTGCTCCAAGTGACAATCACAATAATGCTGACCACTTACCTGTAACCAGCACGGCCTTTTGATCCACAGGTAAGAATTCTTGATCGGATGAACACACGCACAAGAAGAAACAGGACAACGACAAGAGAAGCAAGCTCCAGAGGAGGGACAGGTTGAGCAGACAAGCACCTCCCCAGAGGCCAGCAAGGCACAGCACCTGGTTCCACAGCTTCCCCGGGCTCTTGGATCTGTAGAAAAGCATGCCCCCCAGCACTGCAGTGGCAGTTAAGCAGAGCCATGCTGACTGAGAGAAAAACGGGCTCATTCTCCACTGGCCTTCACTTGCTCTGGGTCAGTGAGTAGTGTGTGTGAAAAAGCTAGCTGGAGGCAGCTGGGCTTATATGAAGGGAGAGTCGAGAGGGGAGGGGGACAACAGCCCCCGCACCTTTTGAGTGGACGTGTTAAATGTAATGATAGGGAAAACTACTCCCAGGAGGTCATTTGAACTTTGTACTGTGTTATAGATACCAGACCCAACCTACCTGCTCATTCCCCTAAAGCACTCAACACACGCATACACTTGCTCACAAGCAAACATACACATTTCAGGCATTTGTGACCTCCCCATCTGAGAGCTGATTATTCAGGTAATGATTGATAGAATTAGAATTACAAGGATATAATCTCCTTTGGATGTTCCCTCTCTGTGTTTGTTGTGTCCTTTCTCTAACTCCGTGTGTGTGTGTGTGTGTGTGTGTGTGTGTGTGTGTGTGTGGTGTGTGTGTGTGTTATCCAGGTAATCAATGAAGCTTGGAAGGTGAGGTCTAAGGAGGCAGCATCCCTGATTTGGTCCATCTGGAGGATTACTGCCAACTGAGACAGGCTAAGAGCTCCGTGGACCAAAAGGAAGAGACTCCTTAGTGGGAGATGGTAGGTGCCTGTGTCTTGTCAGGGGGCAGTGCTTTCTTACAACTCATACACCAATCTCAATACTGTTTCATTCTACTCTGGTAGAGGTTCTCTTCTAGATAATAGGACTCGGTCTCCAAATAAGTTGTCCTTATGATGTTTCTGTTCATGTAGCAATAAAAAAAAGAGAGGCAATCCAACCCACACTAGAGAGTTTAGGAAGTGAGCCTAAATGCAGCAGCTGAGTCAAACAGGCTGATCCCTGAGCACTTCCTTTGAACTAGCCACTAACTGCTTTAGGTACAACATAGAAAAGCAGCCCCTCTTGTACTAGTTCCCCCCTCCTTTTGCTTGGCTCGCAACTTACACAATCCTTTGTTAGACTCAGTTTGTGAACAAGAAAATTCAAGCTGGGAGAGCCTGCACGTATTCAAGGACAGTAATCTGGATCATATACCTGTGACTCATCAGCTCAAGGGACATCCTGTAAGGACTGGGGAGATAACTAAGTCCCTATGCATATGCATTCAGGTAAATCTACCATGTGCACACTCACCTGTGTACACACAAATCTGTGATTCACCAGCTCAAGAGCCATCCTGGAAGGACTGGGAAGACATCTCAATCCCTATGTATGTGCATCCAGCTACGATAAACCATGTGCACACATACCTGTGCATATGTATACCCCCCCTCTCTCTCTCTCTCCCTCTCTCTCTCTCTCTCTCTCTCTCTCTCTCTCTCACACACACACACACACACACACACAGACCACCATTCCCCATACTGATAGCCAAGGGGATCTCCCACTGGGTTTGATGGTCCTGGTGCTTGCTGGCATCCGTCTAGGAAGGATGCAGGATTCTAATAACAGGCAGACACTGGGAAGATTGGGGAAAGATGAGCTCTCTCTTTGAGTTCAGGTACTCATAGTTAAACACAATTCCAGTACCCACAGTTGTTAAGGATGGGGTAATATTGCCTAGGGAACTTCCATTCCTTCCACTCTGTCTCTCCAGCAATTAAATAACAGTGTGCCTCTCCTGGAACCCTAGACAGGACCTCAGAAAGGCTGTGGAATTGCATGTTTAAATAGAAAGAGAACAAAAGGCAAAAGGTGTGGTAGAACACAGTGCCCCACAGAATATAGAGTTGTCCTAGAATTGGTTCTAGAGCAAGGTGCAGTGCACAGAGGGGCAGGAGTTGTGGGAGGGTCCTAGTAGTATGGATATAGAGGGAGGCAGCAGGGTTTGCTCAAGCTGAACCCAGCAGCACAGCCTTAAATGGGACGTCAGAGATATCAGCCTCTGGCTCATAGGAGACTCTCCCCCAGGGCCAGAGCAGCTTTAAAAGGAGGATGAGGTAGGACACATGCTAGTTCAATACCCAGGGGCTAAGAAGCAAGAATCTGAGTTACACTGTGCTGTGGGATCATGGTGGAAGTCAACAGATCATAATGAGAGACCCTGGGGGTGGTGACAAGTTATCTCCACACACAGCCTCATGGACATCTGAGGTAGAGAGCTGTTGCTGGCTCTAGATCAGGAAGTTTAGGGTGGGGAGACCATGGAATTCTTGCCTGGCCCCAACATTTCTTCTCTCCTTCCACAGACCCCAGTCCATCCTGGTGCTAACTGTGAAGACAGACATTTGGTGGGTGGGGGAACCTCTCAGGATCAGGAGGATTCTGTTACCAACCAGTAGGTGAATGGTTTCCCACATGGGCATACAAGACTAGCTTTGGCTCTTTTCTGGGGATCTTGGTTCTGTGGCTTCTGTATAGGGGCTGGACCAAACAGACTCATACTCACCTGACACCAGGTGACTCTTCTACAGGCAGCCCCCACAATTGGGAGAAAGCTGCCTCTGTAAAACACAGAAATACAAGCATAGGTATTTCCCAACCTAAAATGGGAATGGTGCCGTACAATGACCCACCACTTACTAGCAATGAGCTTTGAGCAAGTTGCCTATCAGTCTGGACCCTGTTTCCTACTCAGTAAAATGGGGGTTTGGGCTTGTCCCCTCCATGGAACTGTTTTAAAACGTGAAGGACCTAATTCTTACACCATGCCTAACACTGGTGTACAGTCATAAAGAGAAGCCTTTGGCTCACGGTTACAGGAGGACACTCACCTCCTCTCAGCCCTTTTCACTGGGCAGCAGGGACATCCTTTTCAGCCTTTCCCATTCCTTTATTTTCCTACTCAGTTTGTCACCTGGCTCTTCCCTTGTCATCCCTTTACAAGATGTCAGCTTGGGTGTCATCTGCTCATCCATTCCCTCTGTCACACATAGCTCAGTTCACAATTCTGGATTTGTTTACTCTTAGAGACATTTTCTGTTTATTTCATTAGAGTATGATTCTTGAGCTCAAGGACAAGCCCTACCTGTCTGCTGTGAGCCATGGTTGCACTGGTATTTTCCCTTTGCTGCTCACAACACTCCCCTAACCCTATCAGTGAGGTAGGAAGGAAGGCCTTTAGCCAACCCAGCAACGTGCAATTGCAGAGTTTCCAGACAAAAACCTAATTCATGTCATTCTGATACCAGAACTCTTTCAGTTATGAACTTCAGAGTCTTTGCCTATCTGAGAATCACCCAACCTCTCAGCAAGGACTTCTCAGTTGTGACATTGTGTCTTCTCGTTTTTGACCTGGAACTGCCCTCAAGGCCATCCCTACATGGTTAATATCCTATATCTGGCAAGCTTTTATCTATCTTCCCAAGAAGGGACAGTTGTATCAAGTCATTCTTTTTTTTAATTCAAAGTCTTTTAATTGTGGCTTCCTGCAAAATAAAAAAAAAGCAAATAAGTTACTTCTTACTCTAAGAATGAAGATCAAGGGTACAAACATAATACAATAAAAGAAAAACCCAAGTCCCGAAGTGTAAATAGTTCATAGTCTGATGTCACAGACTCTTAGTCTCCTGGGCTCCAAATGGCGTGGGCAACTCCACCTCTGACTCTGCCCTCCACAGCACACACACACACACACTGCTTGTCTCTTGGGCTAAGGCTAGTTTCACTTCACAGTCCTTGGTGCTCATCCCACAGTGTTGGCATCTCCATTATGCTGGGGTCTCCACAGCAACTGTGCTGCTCCTTCACCCGGAGTCAATTCTGGGCTATCTTCAGGGCCCCTGACCCTGTCACATGTATCAAGTCATTCTTGTTAATGATGTCCCTGGGTCAGTGTGCTATGACCTTCTGAGGGTGGTGAAGCCTTTCAGAAGATACTTTCTGAAAGTGACAGCTTACTTATTAGTTGCTGTTTTCGTTGTTGTGACAAAATAACTGACAAGAAACAACTGAAGGAAAGAAAGATGATTTTGGCACAGAGTTGGAGAGTACAGTCCATCACGGTGGAGTTGACATGGCAGCAGGAGTGTGAGGCACTGGTCACAGGGTATCCATGGTCAGGAAGCAGAGAGGTGAACGCTGGTGCTCAGCTTGGCTTCTCCTTTTTATTCATCCCAGGACCCCAGCCCAGGGATAATACCAGTGACATTCAGGTTGGGCCTTCCCACCTCGTTTACTTTTCTGAAAACACCATCATAGACACACCCAGAAATGTGTTCCCACCCAAAAGTGTGTTTCCACAGTTGTTAGGGTTGACAATGGCACTTACCCATCACATTTACTGAAGGAAAGGATTTCCCAAAATGGGCAACAATAAAAATGTTAAGAATCTGCAAATGTACACTTGGTTAATATCCATGACTCTTGAGTATAGATGAGATGTGCAAAGGCCACTTCCCTTCCAGAGTGGGGATTCCCTCTGAAACATCCCCACCCAGTGGCCATCTTCGTTACTGCCAGGACACCTCCAAGAACAAGCATTTCCTGGCACCTGGTGTCCAGGTTTGGATGGCTCTGGACATGACAGGGGTTTTCTCTGATGCACTTGTTCTGGGCACCTGTTTTCCTTTCCCACTGGAGACACATGAAGACATCTTCCAGATGTCTGAACACAGCAGCTCTTCCAAGCAGATGACTCATCCTCTCAAAGGATCCTTAGACAAGGTGGAATATGTTAAATGTGGTGTTGAGTTTCTCAACCAGCCACATGCCCAAGAGTTCCAATACCACTGAATGATGGTGTTGCAGGCGCTGGGTAACATTTTAATACAGTGAATGGCACATGGTGATTCACTGGGCATAGAGTGTGATCCTGCATTAGTGTGATCCTGACCCAAAGGTTAAAATACAGACTGACTGGTACAGGACGTAACATAACCTCAGAGATTTGGGGTTACTGAGAACACACATGCTTTTTGAATGCCCAGGGGATGGTGAATGTTTTGTGTATCCAACTGTAATTGTACAAACATTATATCTTATGTAACTCTTTATTTCACAAAGTGAGAAGTAAAACACCTGGAGACAGATGCTTCCCCAGCAAAGTGCCTGCC